CTGGACACGCTCCAGCTACCGTACCACGATGTCAAGGATCTTGGGTACTGGGGTATCATGGACCAAGTACGTCTCGGCAACCTCCGCCCGACAATGAGCGTGAACTGTCCGCTTTGGCTGCGTCACCTCGCAGAGCCATGTCTGTCGTTTGACCCGACGCAGCGTCCGTCGGCGCAGATGCTTGTGACCTCCCTCCAAAAGCTGCTCGGTCGCAGCGAAGAAGCGTTGGCGCCGGAACCAGAGACCGAGCCCTCGACTCGCAAGACGCGCTCCACCGCCGTAGCCTACGTCGCTTCTGACGGCATGAAAAGGTCACGCATTTACTCTCTTTGTAGATATCAACACCTGAGAACCTCCAAGGCTCCGACAAGCTACGCAGTCGCACGAGCTCAACCCTCAGCAGCGACTCGACGACGTCGTCCGTCACCCCTGGAACATCCACTGGCTCGACGGTGAGCTCATCAACACAACTCTTGTGGTCAGTCTTCTCCATCATATCGCCATTGTAGACGTACTCGTCGTGGTCCAACTCGATGCTTGTGAGTACGCGCGTCGTGTGTCAGCTCTGCCGCGCCTCCAACTCTCTGCTCGAGTCACACTGCGAGGCCTGCGCCGGGTCGTTAGCTCCCGTGGCGTCCAAGCTCAAGGTCCTTCTCAAGCGGCTTGCGGTCGCCAAGAAGAACGGATTTGAGATCGACACCGGTCTTGTCTGCGTCTGCTGTGAAACCCACCACAGTATGACGGTCACGATCTGCGACGAGTGCGACGATGAACTTCCGGACGACCAAGAAAAGCTGCGTATCCTACTGCTGCGCATCGAGCAAGCGGCCAACGCGTAAGCCTCGCGATGCATTCTGTATACCACGACCAAGTGACGTTTTGAACATGTTTGCGTTTCGTGAGCAGCGCAAAGGTAGTGGACACTTGCTAGCACCAAGCTATACGCCGAAGAAGAAAGCCGAGACGCTCAGAGTCGTTCGAGATACGCAGCTCCGATGAGCACCGAGCAATGCCGAGCAATCGCGGTTGTACAAACAATTTGACATGGCGAGCGGCCGCCAAGTCGCACAGTGCCACTCTGCTTCCGAAGATCCAATTTCCCGCGCTCTGATTGGTCCGTACACAAGGAGTTGGCCATCACAGCTCTGTGTTTCTAGCGATTATAGCACATTATCAACTGTCTATGCCAGTAACACCCAACTACGTCAAGACGAACCATCTGGGTTCTCCATTTCCATCAGGAACGCAACGGGGAACACGAGAATGCGATCGACTCATTTGCAAGGGCGCCATGACATCACCAGACCGCGGTGTCCGCCTCTCGTACTTGCGCCACTTTATCAACGCCCATGGCGGTGAAGCCAGCTTTGTTGGCAAGACGACAGCCCAAGTTTGCTTTGAGTTTATCGTGCCTATGACCAAGCCAACCGAGCTCTCGCTCGTCGACCACGTCGCCAACGACCCGTCGACCGCCGCTTACGTCGCGCCAGCCAACTGGTATGTCTCGCACGCCTGGATGTACCTCTTCTTGGAGACCGTCGACAGCCTCGAGCGCTTCTTCGCCGACCGAGATCTTAGTGACGACGCGGTC